GCTGTGCAGGCGGGATACTCTTGGTAGCTTGCCGGGCTCTCCAAGAGGGGAGTTGAACTCGGGTTAGCCGCATGCAAAGTAAACACTCTACCCACTGTGCTATTGCTCAAAGCTCAGAATCATGGTAAAGAAAAAAAATTTTACTCAAAGATTTAATTATTAGGGCCAGAGAGATAGTGCAATGGACAGGGCACTTGCCTGGGTTCAATCCTCATCACCCCATGTGGTGTCCCAAGTCCACCAGTTGTGATCCCTGAGCTCAGAACCAGGATTAAGGCCTGAGCACTGCCAGATGGGGACTAAAAAAGAAATAAAACAAAAAGATTTAATTATGCTGTTTTTATAAGTCTGTCATTCTAGGCTGTCCTGTTTTACTACTTGCCTGTGTTGGAATCATAACCTAACTAGGAATTGTGTGGGAAGCAAAATTCTATCAAGTTTTCTAACTCTAAACTTATTGTGACTTGCAGTCAGCATTGACACATTGATTCCTAAATGCTAGAAAAATATACAGTTAATTAAAATTTTTTTAATTGAATCATTGTGAGATAGAGCATTACAAAATTGTTCACCCTTCAAGGCACTCCTCTGTATAATTAATTTTAAGGTATTTGTCAAATGATTAAATTCTTAATTTCATCAATACCAATTGCATTTTATGTCTCTGATGTTAGAAATCTGTGATTTATAGCAGCTGAAACCTTACAATCTCTGGAGATATTGCTTTTTTGTCTTTGTTTTGGGGCATAACTAACAGGATAGAGTGGTAAACTGTGAATAAAGCAAAAATATCAACATTAGTCTAAAATTAAAAAAAAAAATCTGAAGTTATCGTTGTCTTTGGGAAAAAGCTTCTTGTAGTGCTTGGTAATCTAGGACCTCTCTTGGCTCTCCAGCCACAGTGATGTGATGCTAACGCGACCCAGTGGTGCTGTGGTCACTTTTGTTCTAAGATCAAATTTGAGTCCTCCACAAACAATGACTGTATTCCCACCCTTCAAAATATCTTCCTGGCCTCTTTTGTTACCTTTTGGCTGCACTGCCTCATTTGTTGTGTGTATTGTTAAAGATTCTTGAAACCTTTACTTTTTTTTCATTGGTTATTGTTTAGGCTAATGTCTCTTGTGAAAGGCATAGTATCTAAAGTCTGTCATTTTCTATAGGCAATTCAGCTTATTTAGCTTGCTGCTCCTTCTAAAGATTCTATAGAGTGACCAGATAGTATGGTGCGTAGGGTGTTTACTTTGTATAGAACCCACCCAAGCTTGATCCCCAGCATCCTGTATGCACCACCAGGAAAAATTCCTAGGTGCAGAGCGAGGAGTAAAACCTGAGCATTGCTGGGTTTGGTGTAAAAACAAAACCAAACAAAAATAAAAGCAGAATCTATAAAGACATTATATTGCCAATTTGTGCATACATGTCTGACATATGCAGAGGAGCCTCTGTCTGTGCAGGAGGTCAGAAGAGAAGTGTGCTCATAAAAACAGAAAACAGCAGTGTTTGGTTGCTTTTATTTAAAGTTTAAAAACAAAAGATCCTTAAAGACTTCATTTCAGGTTATTGAAGCCACTAGTGGAAATTGGCTGCATACAGACTGTCTTGTGCTTATCACTGTACACTTTTATTGAACACAAATGTCTCGCAATATCTGTTACATAACTTCTGATTGTTGGGGGGCACGGTTGGGGCAGGTGTTACCCTGTGGTGCTCAGGGGGCCCCTCACTGTAATTTTCAGCTAATCCATCTAGCAGTTAAATGTAAGGGCTCAAATGTGACGGTGTTGGGTATCGAATGAGGGGTGACTCCCTATTGAACCCTTGTATCTCTCTGATTCCTGTTATGTATTTTATAATCACCCTATGACACTGTCACTGTCACTCCCACCCCCCCTTTGTTCATCAATTTTGCTCCAGCGGGCCCAGTAATGTCTCCATTGTGACAATTGTTACTGTGTTTGGCATATCGAATACATCATGGGTAGCTTGCCAAGCTTTGCCGTGAGGGCGAGATACTCTCGGTAGCTTGCCAGGCTCTTCAAGAGGGGTGAAGGAATAGAACTCGGGTTGGTCATGTTGGCCGTTTGCAAGGCAATAGCCCTAACCGCTGTGCTATTGCTCCAGCCCACCCTATGACACATGCTTCATTATTATAATTTTCATTAGAGTGGGCCTTTACATGACTTGTTTACAGAATTATTTCCAGTATTTAGAAGACTGACTAGTTCCCAGTACGTGCTCAATAAATATTCACTAAACGCAAACATGTTTTATCAAATATTTTAAAATTAAGAACTTAATATTTGTCACCCGACTGAGGGGGTAGTAGTGCTTTCTTTGCTATATCATATTTGACTTACAATTTGAGATCTAGTAAAAGCTATTAAGAAAACAAAGTAATAAAAAGCACAAATGTTATAAGTAATTTTAAAATAGGAAAAAATTCAAAGCATTATTGTTTTAGTGCGAATGGATAATGAAATACAAAACCACTAAATCACAGAAATTAGAACACTGAATTTTCGTGTACTGCTTAGTTTTTTGTTTTTGTTTCCTTGGCAGTAACTGGAACTTCCTAGGGTTACTCTCTAGTCTGTGCTCAGGATTCACTCTTGGCAGTCCTCAGGGAACTGTACGTGGTTTGAGGGATTAAGCCCTGATCAGGGCAAGCAGCTTCAAAGATACTCTGCGTTATCTTCTTTGTTTGATTGTATTTATCTTTTTGGCCACATTTGATGGCAATCAGGCCTTACTCCTGTCTCTGCTCTTTGACATCTTGTTTCTTCCTTACACAGATTCCACGTGTAGTAAATAAAGTGTTGATGTACAATATTTATGGATTTTTTAGTTCAGGGTCAGGGTGCAATGATTAGTTTAATTTTATAGTATTTGTAAAATTTATGGAAAAGTTTTAATGACTACTTCTAATAAATACTTAAGCAGTCATCATTATTAGATGTAACTACTTGAAGGAACTGTAAAATATACTAAATCACATCCTCTATAGATTTTCATTATGATATTGAGTTCTCACAATGACTCCTATCACTCCTTAATCTGTTATAATTTTCCCATGGCATTGGGACAATGTGGAATTTAACTTCGATGGGCTATGATGTATCTTTTAAAGAGATAACTACTTTAAATTATAATCCCAAGTGCTTTTATGAAGAAATGATTGGGAAAATGATTTCTTCTTATTTAGCAGTCTGTGCTTTAGAGAAGCACAGATAAGGCAAGTCAGCTGCATGAAGTCATTTAATAAATCATTTTGTGTGGGTGAGAGCTAGTCTCCCAAGTCACAATCAAGGACACAGATAGATTAAAGAAGCAGAAGTCTGATATTGACCTTGCTTGATGAAAATGAATAAATTTTATGCTTCATATTAGACTGATGTGACTCAAGTCCTTAAAATTTATATGACAAAATATATACTGTAACTCAATATGTTGGACTGTATTGGGTGGTAGTAAAATGGATTCTAAGCATTTTGGGATTGTGGTGACAATAAAAGTGAATTTCCAGTTGCAACAATTACTTCCTTGGTATTAAAATAAGTGGTAAAGTAATATAAAAATATATATATTACTTTAATATAATATATAAAAATAACTAGTTTTTTCATTGAATATAAAAATATCTTAAAGAATTTTAAGTGTATCTATTTAAAATTAAAACTAAAAATATGTAGGGCCTTATAAAAAGATTAAATTAGAAATTACATAGTTAATAAAGATGACTGGTCAGCTAATGTCTTTCTCATATACTCATTTATTTTCTGTGTTTAAGGTTTCTGTGTGTTACTAGCAAATACTTTTCTTTTTTTTAATCTTAGTTCATTGTTATCAAGTTTATTTTCTAGAGTATACATTTTATGAAATATTCCAGTGGAAAATTTGGGAAGAGAAATTTAGAAATTTTTTTTATCTCTTGGATGCTTGAATATTTGAAAAACTGGTTCACAAGAAGAAACCTATTTCCTTTGTCGATCCCAACTTCCACAAATGTTTGATTGAAATATGTGTCTATGTACACATGTACACATTCATATTAAGTTATACAAGATATTTAACTTTCTAGAAACCATGCTTTAGCAAATCAAGAAGGATCAGTCAAAAGAATGAATTAAGCAATGATCAATCATAAAAATGAATTAAGCAATGATGAAATATGGTGTGGACAAAAATAGATATTTTTCAGATTCTTACAGTTAAAGTGTGCAGACTTTTTCAAGATATATTTGCTTCAGATTTTCCCCAGGAAATTGCTTTAGCAACATTCTCATTTATCAATTAAAATATTATTTATGTCAACTATTAGTGTCAGTTACTTGTGTTGATTATTAGTTGTTTCAACTGAAATATTTGTCTCCTTTTAATAGTTTAGCCTGTCAAATGTACTAGATTTGTATGCCTTGAACATGTTTAAATGTCATTTTGAGACAGTTGAAAATATTATTTGAAGATATTCTCATGGATTTTCAAACATCTTAGATGTTACTTTCTTTGCAGTGAAATATTGACTTGAAAGGATCAATGCTCAGAAATCATTGTGATCCCAGAATTGGTTTGACTTAAATATTTTGAGATATGTTATTATCACTTTAATAGTGACTGTAAAAAAAGGTATTAGACATAGAGTAATTATAATTTTATGTGATTTAACACAAAAGATTATATTTAATTTTTTGGTAAATAAAATACCATTTATATGAATAATTTGAATGTGATATATACTTCTTGTTCTTTATATTTCAAGACTTGTGAAAGGAAAATTTGCAGTTTGCTGTTTTTGTGACACTCTACTAGAGCAAATGGCCTCTTTGAGACCTGGAGACGTTTGATTTGTTTTGTTTATAATAGACATGAAAATATTTAAAAACTAATATTTGTTGAGAGCTTGTTTTATTCATATTGCTGCATTAAAGTTCTAAGTATTGAACTGTCAATGAAATATGAGACATTTTACCCAGTGACATTGTAAATGAATCTCATTGTAGGGGAAGCCTGTGGGGACACCTGACGCTGGCGCTTATTTCCGTGTGCTGGCAGAGCATGGAGTAGCTGCCTTGTTTACAGCGCCAACTGCAATTAGAGCAATCCGTCAACAGGACCCGGGGGCCGCCTTGGGGAAGCAGTACTCTCTGACAAGGTGAACTGGAGATGCACAGGGCAAATCCCATTAACAACTGCAATCAGATGGAATAACTGAAAATTATTGTTTTTTCTTAAACTGGGTTATTTCTGTAGAAAGAGTCAAAAGAGTCACAAATGCTAAGAATGACTATTCTAAATATATCTTTTAAATAGTTAGAATGAAAGCCATACAGTGAGGATTTTTTTTGAAGTATTTCAGTTTGAATGTTACCGAGTCACTTTCTTTTTTTCCTTTTTTTTAAATTTTTATTAGTGAAACACCATGAAGTACAGCTGTAGGCTTACAAATTTTTGTGCTCGAGTTTCAATTATACAATGATCAAGTACCCATCCCTCCACCAGTGCCCATTTTCCACCACCACGGATCCCAGTATCCCTCCCACCCCTATCCCCCCATCCCACCCTGTCTCTGTGGCAGGGCATTCCCTTTTGTTCTTTCTCTCCTTTTGGGTGCAGTGGCTTGCAAAAGAGACATTTAGTGGCAATCATGTTTGGTCTGTAGTCTAATTTCATTATGCTTCTCCCATCCTGGGATCGTTGTTCCCTTCTCTATCTGAGCTGCCTTTCCCCCTAGCATGTGTGGCTGGCCTCCAAGCCATGGAGTAAACCTCCTGATACTTATCTCGACTATTATTGGGTGTTAGTCTCCTATTTTGTTACTTTATGTGTTCATCTGGGGAACATAAAGTAACCAAGTCACTTTCTCTCTCTCTCTCTCTCTCTCTCTCTCTCTCTCTCTCTCATACACACATACACACACACACACACACATACACATACACACATACATACATATGTATATACTGTATTTAACTGTTTTGGAACAAAAAGAACTCTTTTGGGAAAATATTATTTGGTGTTATATATCTGGCAGATAAAATGTAAAAATTATAGTTAGCAAATACTTTGCTGGAAGACTGATAGAATTTTTTTTCTATTATCATCTAATAGTATGCTCTAAATAATTCAGAATTTTTTGCACTGGTTTCCTGCTATCCACTTTAACTTAATGATATGTACACTTGAGGAAAATTAGAACAATTTATATCTTCAAGGCAGTGTCCAGCACTAACTCTCATTGGGCTTCCTTAAAGTAGGCCATTGAACGTAGAGATTTTGTAGTTAATTCTAGATAAAACAAAAATTAGTTAACTTCAACCTTTGAAATTCAATGACAGGAATTATGCATTTTATTGTACTATTGCCCAAGGAATAAATTAAAATAGAAATACAGCAGCTGGAGAGAAACTACAAGGGTTAAGGCCCTTGACTTCATGTATCTGACTCTAGTTCAAATCCTTAAGACTACATATGGTAGTATTGGCAGTTAGGGTTCACTCCTGAGAAGAGAACCTGAAATAGCCCCTGAGCATCTCTGATTATAAAACCCCAAATAAATAAAGATAAATTATAAGATCAGCACGGGAGTTTTGACCTGCTCCGTTTCCGACCTGGGCCGGTTCACCCCTCCTTAGGCAACCTGGTGATCCTCCGCTCCCTGAGGGCTGGAGCGATAGCACAGTGGGTAGGGCGTTTGCCTTGCAGGCAGCCAACATGGCCGACCCGAGTTCTATTCCTCCACCCCTCTCGGAGAGCCCGGCAAGCTACCAAGAGTATCTCGCCCGCACGGCAGAGCCTGGCAAGCTACCTGTGATGTATTCGATATGCCAAACACAGTAACAACAAAGTCTCCAATGGAGACATTACTGGGCCTGCCCGAGAAAATCGATGAACAACGGGAGGACAGTGACAATGACAGTGACAAATTATAAGAAGTATGTCAGATTAAATTTGGACCTAAAAGATAGTATTGGTGTTAAGGTGTTTGCCTTCCATGTGGCTTGAATCCCTGACATCACATGTCAGTCTAGAAGATATCCCTGAGCATTGAGCAAGGAGTAGGTAAGCACTGCCAGTGGTGGCCCAACCTCTTCCCAAATAAAAAAATAACAATTTAGATGCACAAATTTGCATCCATAGGCAAAAAGTTATCACAATCAACTGGTTACTAATTTTATGTTGTTCTTTTATTTATGAAAAATCTGAAATTTTAAAATCTTAGAAAATTAGCATGTGCTCATTGCATAGAAATGTGTTCACAGCCTGGAGAGTAGTACAAAGAGCGGGAATGCATGCTTTGCACACAGGAACCCTGAGTTCACTTGTTGGTACAACATGCTCTCTCTCCAGCAATAATTTGGAAGTGACTCATGAGCACCTAGCGAGGAGTAGTTCCCATGCATTGATGGGTACTGCCTCACGCCCTCCTCCAAACAAATAGGTGTTTATAAATTTAATCTATCATAAATATTTTCTATTACCACCTATTAATTATTTCATTTACTTTGATTTTATTTTTTTCTAATTCAGTAGTTCCTTTTTTATACAAAAGAGTAAAAAAAAGTTTTTGGTAAGAACTTATTTGCATATGTATAGTTTCTCTGTATTAGAGACAGCTCATGGGGTTTCAAAGAAACTGATTACAGCTTTTTGCAGTCTCTTAACCTACAAATTGCATTCTGATTGCAAGGCTTGGAGTTTGTAACCAGTAAGCTAAACTTTTATGTTTTTTTTTTGTAGCTATAGATCTTCTTTTCCTAGCTGTACTTGAATTTTTTTTATCTTATTCTTTACTGAGACTTTGTTGTTACTGTATAGCACAGCGGTAGGGCGTTTGCCTTGCACGCAGCCAACATGGCCGACCCGAGTTTGATTCCTCCGCCCCTCTCGGAGAGCCCGGCAAGCTACCGAGAGTATCTCGCCCGCACGGCAGAGCCTGGCAAGCTACCCGTGACGTACTCAATATGCCAAGCACAGTAACAACAAAATCTCCAATGGAGACGTTACTGGGCCCGCTCGAGCAAATCAATGAACAACGGGAGGGCCTTTACTTTACTCTTTACTGAGAATGCTTGAAACATTTCTAATTTTTCAAATGGTATAGCATCAAACAAAGTAAAATGCCTACTATATCATCAGTTTTCAAACTTTTATTGACAGAAAGGAAATATGAAATGCAAGTGTAAGAGAAATTGCATCAAGTTTCTCTTGATCATGTCCATTGGGCAGAGTCAACCAAGTTACTCATGTTGATGTGCACCTATGATTTTATTAAATAAGAATGAAGATTCTACCACTATCTTATATTATTCCAATTACTTGGATTAATAAATGCAAAGACTCTTTGTCTACAAAACCATGTGCCAAGTATGTCACTGTCACTGTCCTCCTGTTGTTCATTGATTTGCTCGAGCAGGCCCAGTAATGTCTCCATTGGAGACTTTGTTGTTACTGTGTTTGGCATATGGAATACATCACGGGTAGCTTGCCAGGCTCTGCCGTGCAGGTGAGATACTCTCAGTAGCTTGCCAGGCACATAAGTAAAAAAAATTGCATTGTCAGTGTTTGTGGAGTTTTTTTTTTTTTTAAGATATTCTGTGCTTTACAACACAGTTAATAATGGTTTCTTATGCACATAATTCCAACACCACACCCATCACTAGTGTACCCACCTCCCTTTCCCAAGGATCCTACTACTCCTCCCTTTTATCACCCCCCACCCCCAACTCAATTGCTTGAATTAGTTCTATCCTTGAGTTATCTTTGTTACTGCCTTGTTGTGTAGCTTTAAGTCCTACATATGAGTGTGATCATTCTGTATCCCTTTCTTTCTCTCTCATTGATTTCCCTCACCATGATATCCTGAAGTTCTATCCACATTGGATGGATGATTTTATTTTCTATTTAATCATCACAACAGATTGTGATTATGCTTTTTTGTTCATGTTTTACAAGTAGGTAAATTAAGACCAGAGAGTTTGTGTTCATTTATTTGGTTAGTTTGTTTTTGGGCCACACTGAGTAGTACTTGGGGCTTTCTCCTGGCTCTGTACTCAAGGATCACGATGTATAATATTGTGCTTCGGGGACCATGTGTGGTGCAGGATTGGATTGGTGTCTGCTTGCAAGGCAGACGCCTTAAACCCTGTGCTATGTCTCCAGCCAGGAATAGAGAGTGTAAGGTTTAAGAAGCTCATTAGGGGAAAAAATGGAAAAGCATAACCTCAGATTCTGGCCTTGGTCAATATTTTTAACTAAGTACCATAGACATGCTCTTTTAATGAAAGATAAATTAAGAAATTAACTTCACCCAAGGAATCTGGCTCTCCATATGAAACATGGAAATATTGCTTTTCATATACTCTTAGTCTATGTAGGTGATAGTTTCACTTGAATGCTTTATTAGATTCCCACTTGGTACAAGAAGATGTGGGAAAGTCAAAAATGCAACTGCTGGGTGCTGGCATGATAGCACAGCGGGTAGGGTATTTGCCTTGCATGCAGCCAACTCGAGTTTGATTCCCAGCATCCCATATGGTCCCCAGAGCACGCCAGGAATAATTTCTGAGTGCATGAGCTAGGAGTAAGGAGTAACCCCTGTTCATTGCTGAGTGTGACCCAAAAAGCAAAAAAAAAAAAACAAAAAAAAAACAACGCAAATGTCTCCTCTGAAAATGTGAAAGAAAACTGAGGTCCAAAAAAGTTGCGTGGGTTGAGACAGAATGAAAGCCAGAATGGCATCATCTCATGCACCTGAATTTTTAGTTTATGATAATTTGTTCAAGACATTTTGTACTTATTTACCAAACTGTCATTTATTAGATGCTATAATTGCAAGATCACGAGTTATTTGCAGTTTGTTTTTCTCTTCAGTCATGAAATATTTTGAATGATACATTTTTAAAGCATCTTACAAATTTTAATAATTGCTTTAAAAGTACATTTGATTTTTTGCCAAAAATTTCAGCTCTTAAACAGTTTCAAAGGGTAATCTGAAATAGGGAACTATTTTTGAATGATCGCTTCATTTTATCATTGATGATGAAAGTTTAGACAAAATAGAATTTATTTAATGTCATGCTCCCAATTAATAGTTTAGAAAACTTTGTTGCAGAGATGGAGTGGTGATTCTGTGGGAAAACCTGCTCTGGGGCA